AATTCGTATAAAAATGAATGTTCCTTTGGACTTTGGGATAATCCCTCTCGTCTCTTTCATGCAATTAGCTAAAAAAAATAGAAATGAAAAGTTGCGATCAGAGCGAGGTGAACAAAATAAAAAAGTATAATAATACATTCAAAATAACGAGCAACGTGCATAGGTATTTAATAGTACTAATAATTAATTGCTTGTTTCTGGGGTATTAAACACGTCAGTTTTCATGTGAGGCCTAGGGAAAATCTTTTGATGGCAGCCCTTTTACATCCAGTACCAAAGACATGTACGTGGAGGTAGTAGCGGCTCGAAGGAGGTATATTTGTAATTTGAATCACATGATTCACAGAAATATTAATGAAGAGAGCAATAAAAAAATGTTTAGGCAGGGTAGTGTAAAAATATTAAATGTGAGTCAAGGAAAAAAATTCGAGACGACACTGAGTGGAGGATATCTCCTTGGTCACGTGTTAGTCTATAAATTATTTTTTAATAAAGTTTAAAGATAAATGATAATTATGTCATGAATGTTATTTTTTCCACCAGAACTGTAAGATGGTGCCCAAGATAATATTTTATATTGCTATAACAGCTTAATTTTTTATTAATATTAAAGAGGCTAGTTTTGAAAGTGTGTCGTATATAGTTCTAAACAACAACTGTTTCTTTATCTTAAACGACGTCTGTCTACTACGAATAACTTACCACACCAAAATTAAATTTTTTATATTGTACACATAATACATATATATTTACGTATTAAGTAGTAATAAATATCCCCGATGATCTATTTATTGTAGGACACTAATTATTTTAAAAAACTATTAACGTGTGTGATAATATTGTTTTACATATGTAGTTTGAAGTCGTTAAAAATTATAATTGTTCCTAATTTGTATTGTAATCATTATTTAAATATACTACCTCTTTGATGACAACGTTAATTTTTAATTCCTTATTCTAAAACAGAATATTTTTAGGAGTATTTCGATTGACAACGATTTTAAAAATCTATCTATGAAATTTTACACCTGCGTGTGTTACATTTACCCTAAGTTGTCATATCTTATTTTTCATATGCCCCGATGAAATTTAGCCATATTTGAATCCTAGGAAAGTCATAGCCATTACAGATTGAATCACTCCAAAATATATTCTTCTTTAAAATGAGAAATCAAAAATGAATGCTTTTATTAAAATAAGTGCACAAAATGTAAAATGATAACGTTAAAAATAGTAAAAATATAAATTTTGTAGGAAAATGTCCTTTTTTAATGACTTAAAATAATTATGCAACATAAATATTGTCAAATATAGTTCGTTTTCTAAAATAATAATTGTCTTACGTAAAATGTATCACCACCCCGTATACTAATATATATAGTTATATACATTGGAGACCACTCCCTCAAACAAATGCCTTTTAGATGCACACCACTTCACAGGATATCGTGTAGGATCATTATTATTATTATTATTATTGGAAAAGTATGATAATGAATTGATGAGTATAATATCGAAATCGCGTCGTAGAGGTGCGAATGCCCCGGAGTAATAATGCATAATAATATAATATTTTCTACATTATTATTACTCGGCACACATCATACAACTGCTACAGAATCAACACCATCGCACCGCCGAGGAATGCTACACAACGTCTGCTCTTGCATTATATTATATTGGTAACGTTATAATACCATAATATACCTACACAATCAGCTCACGTTCTTCCCCCGTCGCGGTCATAGACGGCCGCGGCGTGCTTACCTATATCGTACACAGCAACTACCCGATTGAGAAATTCGCGTACGCCTTCTCTCCACCGCGTGCGGGTTTTTATGTTTTATTATTTTTTTTCCCGTGCTCTGCCGTTGGACTCGGTCCAAGCCTTATGATTTATGAAGCGGAGAAATATTATCGCAATTAAGACCGACCCGGAGAAGTTGTTTTGTCGGGTCTGACGTCCCGAGTGCAGTGCAGCATATACCTACGACACACGTTCCCGCCGCAACGCGAGTGTAGTGATATTCGCGCGCGCGAACGCAACCGAATCGAGTTTGTTTATTATTAATTATGGCGAGCGCCCCTTTTTTTTATTTCGGTACACCTATAACATTATAATACATATTCATATGTATAATAATATAATATACGTACTAGTCCCGACCCGTGTTTATAGTATATAAATATATGTATAATATACTCGACGCACGTGTGCAGAAACAGTAGTAGTAGTGGTGAATATCGCCATTGCGAATGTAACACATGCGATCGGTGAAAAATATAAAAACGAATCTAGGCGAGTTTTTATACACATAATAATGATAAAAAGAATTAAATATGTTATTATAACGTACGCTGGCAATCCCTCGTGCAGCAATCGTTATATTTACGCGATGTGTGACGATGATAATAATAATGATAACGATATCGCGAGCTCGTGCGCACCTCTTCTGTATTAATAGCTATACATATAGTATAATTTATTATAATTTATATATAACTCGGCACGCGTATCTCATAATAATAATAATAATAATAATAATATATATTATATCCTGCACCAAATGATAATAAAACAAACACTTAAGTGCCACCCAACAATAATATTATTGTACAATGCACAGACCACGGCCGACGGGACAACTGGGGCGTCGGTTGATGTTGTTTTCACATGTCGGGACACCTTAGGTATATAATACATAATGTAAAACTTGTACGTTAGGTACAACCTATATACCGCATAAACTGTATTTATATACCTGTATAGTATTGTTATGTGTCCCGGCCGTGAGACGGTCACGCGTCGTCTAGCACCGTATTTAGGGCTGCTGTGCGCCTGGAGGGATTCACGCGGTGCACGGGACACGCCAAAAATGTTACATTACACCAGCTAGGCCTATACCTGTATAATATACCGAGTGTTCCATTCAACGTACTACGATTATTATTTCAATAACTATCAACATTTGTGTAAATATTATCTTGCGAATATTAGGTCGTTAAAATCAACGTTTTTCTAAAAAAAATATCGATACAATTTTCATTTTTCAATTTTTTTTTTAATGACAACCTCCATTTTTAATTTCTAGTTTTAAAGAAAATATTTTTTGAAGAGCTACTTTTTCCAAAAAATGTTTTTTAACGAGTTAAAATTATTTAAAATATTTAGAGATATATTATTTTCAAAAACGATAGTTTTTTTCTGAAATAGTGGGTGTCTTTCGTTAAATGGATCACCCCATACATGATAATTTGAGCACATAGGTGCGTTACAAAATAACATCGGACCTTAGAAAGGAGTACTTACGCAGCATAATATACTGGCCAACTCAAACACACATTAAGACTAGCGTGTGGGTTCACACTTTCACAGCGTGTATTATTATAGTCTATAGACGAAAGTCCCATAGTGGCCATTTTGAGTCGTCGCTTCGCAGTCTTATAATATTACTGTGCAGTACAGTAAGTATATTTGAACAAAATCAGCCGATAGTTTGTCTATAAAATTTTTTTTTTAAGTTTGTCAAATTTTTGATTTGATTTTCAAGACATTTTTCAAACAAAATTCAGTATATAATATGAATATATTATTAAATGTTTGAAAAAATTAAAAGAGAGTATAGAAACGTTTTTTTCGATTTTATGCTTCCAGAAAAATGTATTATTATTTAAACCCAAAAATAACTTTGAAATTTCTCGTTTTATGTTAAATAATAAGATACTTTCAACAATTAATTCCGTAATTTATTTTTCATACACTTTTTTTTTTTATTCTAAATAAGAATTTATACAATTTAAATATGGGTATATGAAATATGTATTGTGGTAAACAATTTAAGTGGTAATTTTATCATTCAACAATGCAAAAGATAAAACCTATTCATTTTATTGTTAAATATATAAATTTGTTAAATTAGTATACTTTGCAAATTGAGTACAATTTTATAGCACATGTAGAACGCTGTTGGTATTCCAATAATTGTCAGATCTTAAGCATATTGGAAAATTAGACAAATCGGAAAATAAAATCATCATTCAAAAGACGAGGTGAAAGAAAGGATTTTGAAAAATTCCATTTAAATTATAAGGAGATAGTGACTTGTGAAAAATCTATGTACTGAACAAATAAATAATAATAATAAATTATGAATTAAATGCAGGGCAGCCATATAAAAATTCTTTTAAATTATCAATGGATTTGTGAAATTTTAAATAAATAATTTTGCATTATAGTTTTAAACTTCAACATTTGTTAATCATTTTAATTAATATCATGTGGCTGTATAAAATAAAATATTATACCTTGCCTTTTACCTTTTGCCTATCGGTAATAAAGTTGATCTTTGCATACAGTTGGACTATGCCTAAATATACATCAATAATGACAAATGAACGATGAAAACAATTTTATCGACTTTAACAGCTCCGTGTTGAAATCGTTTATGTATTTTTTGGAATATTAAATCAACACCTCGTGTTTAAAACTCTTTGACCGGATCTTGGGTAAACAAGAATGTAAATGTTTCAAAATGTTTGGTATATATTTTGCGCATGTCCAAACAGTTTTACGAAATATTTATTCTTGTGTAAGTATACGTCTTGTGTACCTTTTATTTGAAATGTTTACTACGTTTGGTGCATAATGCACTTTCTGTACATTTTAAATAAATATTATTTCTTTTTATTGCAGGGTGTGTTATAACGGTTATTGCTTATTAGTATCCGCGTACTGATATATTTTTTTATATATATAGAATCAGATTAGTATTAAAAAGTACATTGAATAATAACCTATGAGATTTATGTAAGGGCTTAGCCGTTTTAATTTTTAAAAGGTGTTATTTAATTTGATTATTAAATAAAACATTAACATAAACACAGTGTGTTACCCACGGAGGATGTATAAATGCACTTTGTTTTATTCGTATATTTCAATTAAAGAGTTTCTCGCCAATCCGATAAGAATAAAATATACGCCTAATAATTTATATACGTACGTGGCTGTAAGCCAAGAAACGGCTTTTTACGTTTGGAACATTGTTATGGTGGTCGTACGACGTACATAATATTCTGAAGACATTGACTGGACATTGATTATTCTTCGGGCCGTACACGGACCCATAAGTACGTAATTTGTACGTAACGTATATGTATCTATGGCCGCACTCTCTGCCTGTAACAATGTTTATTCAATTATTATTAATTAAAAGGTGTGCATAAACACAGTAAGCGTATACCATATATATGCTATCCAGTAAAATGGTAAATTATTGTCGTTTAATAAAAAAAAATATAATATTGTTTTAATTTTCTGTTAAGATGTTTTAGATGTTCTGAAACTCATATGAAGCAAGTACTACAGTATGATATTATTTCAACTGTTTGAATACCGATATAGAAAATAAAATGCTTGATAAATACAAATTAAAATATCAGTATTTTATATACATAGGTAATGCATATAAATATAATAATATAATATAAAATAACCTACGAAGACGGTCCAATATATGTATATATGTGTACGATTGAGAATGGTAATTCTGAATATGTTGTAATAACTAACAACGCAACTCTAAAATTACCTAATACAGTTAAATTTCACTTATAAAATAGATAGAATAGAATTTTTCAAATGTTCGTCGATTTTAATTGTGCATAATGTCATACCGTAGAAAAAAACCGGCTTCGGGAATACCTAATGCATATGGTGTTAATTTGCAGGGGCTTGAAAATCTGTGATTATGGTGTTACGGTATCATATCCCCCCCGTGGATAATTTTTTTATTATTTAATTAAATATAAATATAAAAATTCTAATAAGAATTGGGAAAATTTAACAGTTTAATTTTTAATAGGCACGTCAGATAAAATAGGTAGTGTGTAAGAATGTTGAATTATTAACCACTGCTAAATAAACAATATTTTAAATTATTTTATCTTATTATACGCAGGTAAAATGATTTATAACACCTCATTTAAAAATTTAAGTACTTCACCGGTTAACCTCACAAATTGACCACACTACTTTGCACTAATATCCACACAAATATTCCTGTCATATAATTTAGCACGAATACATTCTATAGAAAATATGCACACGGATAAAATATAATTAAATATACTGTTTTATATTGTTCTCGTCCAATATATTTTAATTGTTCAACTCGCCGCATTTTTTAGATAATACTTATATGAACACGTCATGAAAATTATATTTTACGAAAAAGCTATAACAAATCATTCTAGTCAAAATATTACGTTTATTTTATACGATTACCTTTTTTTTAACTATACACGTTCAATAAAATTGTTACTGTTCATAATACTTTGTCTCTGCCTAACGCAGTCCATCAGTTTTGACACTTTAGCGAGTACAATGTCAGTTATATTTGTATTTATTAAATAAAATCGGATATATTCACACTTCATAATTTTAAATAAATATTTCTAAAATCATTTTTTTCTTTTAACATAACACTTTTGTATCACCACCCAGATGACATAATATTGGAATAATAATGCGTAGTATTATCAATCAAATATTCAGTTTAGAAATTTGAATTTTACTGAATTTATCATATTAAAGCAGTTATATCTAATTTACATAATGACGATTTGAATAAGATGTAGTTTATTTATGGTCTATGCTTATATAAATGATTTATGGATGCATCGAATATTCGGAATAGACTATACGATACGCCCATTATACATATAGTCACCTACCTAAGTATAATATAATACAAAACTTGTAATATACATTAAAATAATTTACTCAAATTCTAAGATAGGTACCTATTTTGTTAATGCGATTTATAACGATGTATAAAAAGTATATATCATGATATAAGTATAATATACCTAGCTCACAATACGAGTATATGCAAGAAGATTAGCAGCCATTAATATTATAATTTATAACGTATGGTACCTATTCATATTAAACGATTATGCGTATATAGGTAGATAGCCACTGCTACTCGACTTCTCAACGTCGATAGTTGGATAGTTACAATGAACTGTACAATATAAATTAGACTATTAGCTTGTAAAAGATCATTCCAGAATGCAGATTGCGTTATATTTACTCACTTTCACACATAATGGTAATAGAGGTACATATTCTACGATTCTGATTGTAGCAAAGAAATTAATTGATTTTACAATGTGTTATTTTCCTCTATTATCTTCATCATATTAATAACGTGTTCTTCGACATTCAGGTTGGTTCTGGTAAAATTCAATCTAGTTAGTACTTCGAAGGTTCAAAAATAGGAAAGAGTATTAATTTATTGCAAGGACTGGAACAGCTTTCAAGAAAATCGACTTTCAGCCAAAGTTATTGTGTTATAATTCCAAATACATACATAGGTACCTAGATATTATAGGCCTATAATAAATCAAAAACAAATATACTAAACGTATAGTATAATTAATCATTAAATATAATAATACAACATAAACTATCTTTTAAATTAATATAATATACGCTGATCCGTCTCTGTTCTTTGCTCAGAATCGTTGTTTCGTGTACACAATGATTTATCATTGAATTCAAATTTAGCAAATCCATTACATAGTGACCTACTCAATGACGAGGTTTACACTAGAAGCCTATATTATACAGCAGAGCGAGTTTATTTTATCGTATCGTTCAACTAGTCATTAGATGATTATTAGGTACAGAAAAAAAAATAAAACAACTGCAAGCCGAACGGACGAATAGTAATAATATTAGTGCATTATTATACGGCTGAAACGTCATCAAGATAAACGTAAGTTATTCACACCGTATGTCACGAGTCACGAAGGCAAATAGAAAATTATTATAAAAATCGTTCGGGATCGATAATCTACTCGTATGGGTGGGTATTCTAACGCACATGTATATATTTATATACTTGCCACGTGTTTCATATGTTGCTCTTACATGTCGGGTAAACAGAGCAATGAGAACAACACACAAGAATAAAACAAAAAAGGACGGGTTATTTAAAAGTTAATATGTGACAAAGGTGCAATATAATTAATAATAAGTTATTTAAACTCTGATAAAATACACCCCAATTTTCAAAGAGCCACTCATGTATAGCGATCTCGAAAGTGTGTCTTTTGGGTCAATAAAAATTTCACTTTTTAAGCCATATACGATGGAGGAAGATTCGACAATATTACGACTTTCCGAAGAATTTAAAAATGAAAATTTCGAAATAGAACAAACATTTAAAATGTGTTTTGATATATCCTTTTATTATCACTCCGGAGAATTTGTTAACGATTGGTTAACTAATTGTTTGATATCAATAAAACCAATTAATGATAAAATAGAAGAATTCTTTGATTATATTATTTAATTTAATTATATTGAAAATACAACACATTTCCACACACAAATACACAATGTGGGCCAAATATACAAGTATTTTAGAATGGACAACTAATTGCTGTGAGTCATTTCACAGCAAATTCAACAGTAGTTTCTATTACACACATCTGAACATCTTTCAATAATTAATCGATGTTTTAAGAGGACGCTATATATACCGGGTATAGAGGTATAATTATTTTACCCATGTGTTTGTTTTCTCCGTCATACAAACGTACCTACGACATAGAAAATTTTACTTAGTAAAGTTTACTATATAGTTTCAATAGTGTACTGTTAGTTTTTACATTAGAGTAAATTGACCTATTATCAAACTCTTCGGTAAGAACATTATCTGTGCTAAAGAGTTGGTGATTTTCATTTTCAAGCAAGACATGGATACGTGAATCATCACAAATTAATAACTCTCATATCTCTCTTGAAAATTAAAATATTGAATAAAAAACAACGAGTATGCAAAAATAATATTCCTACCTAAAAGATTTATAATAAGTAAATTTAGCCTAATATCAAAACTAACAACGCACGATTGAAACTAGTGAATAACAATTTGGTATGCCATACATGTGTAAGACGAAGACAAACAATACAAGGATACCATATTCGGGAGTTCTAATTGAAACATAATGTATGAAACTATGAAGTTTGGAAAAACAACAAAACCGGAAGTCAAAAATCAATGAAACATAATATAAAAATAAAGGAATGTGTTAATTTAAAATCAATCAAATAAGTAGACTATTAGATTCAAAACTAATAGGTGTGATAAATTTTTACTTCAATAAAATAAAATATAAAACAAATTAAACATAAAATAAAAAAATAAAATACATTGTGATTTTTGACATATTTTAAAACAAAAAAACACATTTGAAAAAAAAATAATTGAAATGACATCTAAAATAATCTGGGGACCAATAATTCGTATATATCGTTTATAAAAACCCAGAATTTAAAACGTTTCGGAATCAACTTGGATACACCGACGTATAACATGAAATTATAAATGATAATAATAAACACTACACTCCCAACAATCAGTTATTTTATATTCCTCACTCTTCTAAAAAAGTATTCGTCAAACAACCTAATAAACATTTTAATGTCTTCAGGAAATAGTCAATTACTTTAATAAACATTGAATGTATTATTATTATTTTATGTATCAGTCTAATTATTTTTTACTATAGTATATCTCAATATTTTAAATTAAATTATATTATTCTTATTTATACAAATATATTGTGAATTGGACATTTGACATATAAGTAGTCAAATAAGTAAAAAAAAATGTATATGTATAAAATAACAGATAAGCAGTAGATCGATACTAGCCGGTACTACGTCATATTTTGACACATTTCGAAGTATAACTTGATAGAGGGAGTGGGGTGGTGCTCGGGTGCTCTGGATTTCGGCGTTTAACCAGGCATGTCTGTATAGAAAATCACTGGCACATCAGTGGAGCACAAGTATATGAATATTGAATATTACTATGATCAAATATATGGCAGTGCAGTGGCGCATAGAACGTTATTTGTGGGTGGTGAATTTAAGAAATTTTCATTTCTTAACACCGCCATCCCTGTGATGAAACTAACGTTATAAGAATTCTAATACAATAATTAATTTTTGTTAGTTGTTTTAATAAACCGCTGCAGTTAGTCTTTCTCAAAGAGACTTGAGCAATTGCAGACAACCCAAACATAATACAAACGTTATGCTGCATTATGTGCTGAATGTGAACTAAATAGGTAATACTTAATAGTATTCTAGATACTAAAT